TAACTTGTGTTCCTATCTCCATCATTCACCCACATTATTCCAGCTTTCTGGTACCATAATATTTCTTCTCTTTGAAGAATCCGGTTTAGTTCTTCTATCAAGTCCCACTCCAAGTCCTCCAATCTCTGACTAAAATAATTCTGCTTGTTTCTTTGGATCCCATTGATTCTTCTTATCAACTCTCTCTCTCTCTCTCTCCAGTTTTTTGTTCTATATCCAAAGATGTTGTTCCCAAGTTTCTTTGAAATGTTTTTCTAAACCTTTCCTTTCTTATTTAGCAGCTTGATGAATAGTGGATGATGATCTGAGTTGAGTCTTGGCCCCACCCTTACCGTGGCTTCATTATATTCATTTCTCCAACTACCATTACATAACGCACGATCTAGCTTTTTATACAGTCTGCAAGTAGGGTGTACAATAGGCCCCATCTAAGTGAATATGGGCCCCTCTGAAGCTAATTCTATAAAATAGCATTTGTTGATGTTGTCTTCAAACCTTCTACATTTACTTTCCTGTACTTGTCCACCACCTCTTTGTTCTGAACTGTTTCGTATGTCGTTGAAGTCCCCTGCTACCAGCCAAGGGTCCTTTGTCCTGTTTGCTATCCTTGAGAGATCTTCCCACATCTCTCTTCATTCTCCTTCTCTGGGACTTGCATAGATCGTAGTGAACAACTAGTTTCTACTTCCTACTTCTTACTCCTCCCACTTCACAGTGAATATACTGCTTTTTTGTTTCAATTATTGAGATTAAGACTTGTGGGTCATCCCAAAGGATCCATATTCCTCCAGACATTCCTACTACTTCCTTTATCACCCTATTTTGGAATCCCATTCTTTTTATGGCCTTATCAGCAAAATCACCACTACACCGTGTTTCAACAAGAACCATTAATTTTGGCCTATACTTCCTTTTAAATTCTTTAACCATCTGTTCGAAAACACTTCTGGCAGTACCTCTAGCATTCCAAACTACTATCATTGGATAACTAAAAGGCAGCAAAGGAACCACTCACTATTATATCAACTTTAGAACAAGCGAGGTATTCATTAGACCCTTGCTGTTCTCAATCTCCATGTTGCCAACCTCTTCACCCCTGTTGTCTTGTATCTGGCATTCAATAATAGAAGGGTCCATCGGTTCATTTGTACTAGATGGGTCTGGTGGCGTTTTCATATCGACGTGCATCCTTCCATCATTGGTTTTGGACTGATCTTCATGAAGCTGGTCCTCTAGTATTTCCTCTAGGCCCAGTTCCTGGATTTTCCCTCACCCCTTGTCCCTTTGTTTGCCTACTGTAGTCTTGGACCCTTGGCCCATTTGCTGCTACACGTTGTGCTCACCATCCTTAGGACTATATCTTTCAATTCTCAAGCCCACATTATTCTCCTCTTCTTGGTCCACCTTAAAGCCCATATCCTTTCCCCTCTTATTCTCCACCTGTGTCTCATTAACTTTTTGTATTATTAATCCCTGCTTTTCCTGTTGCTTCTCCTGTTTGCCTATTCTTTTACTAGTTTCTGCTCTGACCTTCTCTCTTCCTTTTAATACTTTGCTCGCAGATTTCCTTTCCCCCTTGTGATGAGTTTCCTAGTATTTTTATCTTCTAACTCTCTCTCTCTCTTCCTCCTGGGTGTTTGAGATGTTCTACAGAGGGGTTCTACCTGCTATTTCTGTTTTCTCGAACCCCGCGTCTGCTTCTGATGACTTCAACATTGCAAATCTTGAGTTGACTCCTGTCTCCTTCCCTGTCCTTTTAGCCTTTTTTTTTTTTACTGATTTTCTGTTTTTCCTCCTTGATCTCCTACCCTTCGTCCTCTCCTTGAATCTTGTACTATCATTTATCCTCCATAGGCATTCCCTAGTAATTTTTTCAACACCGGAGCTTTTGCCAATGACGCGCCCTTACTTCGACTATTTTCCTACTCTTTGGTGGTCTCTTTATTACTTGGTGGGCCATTTTGGTGTCGTCAAGTTGGGCAATGTTCTGATGCATAATCGAATTTGCCACAGGCAAAGCATATTAGATGAAGACCCTTATACTCCACCTTTAAGCAATTTCCATCCACTGTATATGTTGGAAGTAGGGGTTTGTGTAAATCCACCTCCACACACATTCTAGCATACATTGTTCTCCTTTTTGTTAATGTCATCTCATCAACTTTTATAGCTTTACAGATTCTATTTCCCAGGTGATAAAAAAAATTTATTATCATAATAATCTCCTAGGAGTCCTAGTAGCCTTAGCCATATCGCCTCTTTGTGTATCTTCTTAGCCCATGGATTGAAATTCTGCTTCCACGTTTTCACAGTGAGATAGTGGTTTTGAATCATCCATGGTCCTCCTTCCAGAGCAAAGTAGTAATCATCCAGCTCTTGAAAGGTTGCAATCATATAGCCATTCCCAATATCTGAATGATCAACTTTCCTAGACTTTCCTCACATCATTGCACCTTCCTCTATAGTGGCATAAATCCAATCGTTCCACCTAGCAGTTTTATGATGAGTGAATTTTCCTATTCTTTGGCCAATCTTCGTTTCTCCTTCTCGACAAACTCAATGGCTATGCCCCCTTCCGATTCCTTGATGTTGATTCCTTTCTCCATTTCTTGTGGGTCTAGAGAAAGTAAACATCCATCCCAATATCTTTCTAGTCTCTTGGCTTCCTTGTTGGTTCTTCGTTTACGTTCCTTGGTTTCAGTACTTCCCTATAGGATAGTATTTTCTCAGTTCTATTTTCCACCATCTCCTCATTCGCATCCATCCATTCTTCAATCCTGGGTAGTAAAGATACTTCCCTTATGAAGCATCCATCCTTCCTTTGTAGCTTGCCTTTCCCAAAGTTTATCTCATATTTCCCCTTCCCTTCAGCTTCTTTAGGAGGTTTAGGATTCTCCTATTTTCCAATTCGTCTTGTGCGCTCGGTTCACTCTTATTTTCCCCTCTCATTCCCACTCCATCATCTATCGAACAATTAGGTGGAAGATTGTGGGGGTATATGTCCTCTGGTAACATGAAAAGCTCACACAGTATCAGAGTTTTTTTAAAGTGATCTTACACACAAACATACATGTTTAAATTCAAATCCAAAACCTTATTCAAAATAGGTCATGGGGACACTAGGATAGTTTGGCATTAGCAATGAGAGTCAAGTGGGAAGTCCAAAAACAAAACAAAAAATTGGGGTTGTTTGGGCCATGGCCCAAAAAACAAAGTTGCCCTTAAACTAGAGGTGGGAATCAAGGCCGGAGGGTCGGCCCTTCAAGGCTGGCGGGCTTAAAAGGACCGGCTCTCCAAGACTGAAATTTTAAAAATACCCCAATATATTTTTTTATATTTATCATATTTTTTATAAAAAATAAAAATAAACTAATGAAATTATTAAAAAAAGACATAAATATGAATAAAATTAAGTCACAAATATAAAATATCATCATATATAAATATCCATCAACATCCAAGAACATCTAAAACATACATTAACAAGATAACAACATCCAAAAGTTTTATCTATAGTGTAATTGTGCAATAAATAAACACTATCATTAATCTTTTGAAACCTCATCATCACTATAATTAATTACTCTTCTTCATAAGTATGCTTTTCCTTTCGTAACAAAAATATCAAGTTTTTCTTCTTTATAGGAATTTTACTTTTAAATTTTACAATCTAGCTATTATTTTACTTTAATGTGAGAAACATTGTTGTTGAAACTCATAAATTTCTAATTCAAAATATAGAATCACAAGTTATATAAGTATAAAAATACTCTATTATCAAATATATATATATAGTTTAAAAATATCAACGCATATAATATAAATCAAATCATTATTAAAGTCCAAATTAACCCATTTTTTAAAAATTTAATTGGATAAATTATTGTCTAACACTAAATTTAATTTTAAAATGATAATAATAACTAATATTTAAAATATTATTAACAATGTAAAAAATTAATAATATTAAAATTATAAAAAAATTTTAAAAACAAAAAAAATTATAAAAGAGCTTAAAAGGGCCGGCCCGTGGCCCTCCAGGGCCGGCCCTTTTAAGCCCTTGACCCTCCAAGACTTATTTCCCATTTGAAGGGAAAAATATAAAGCCCGGCCCTCATAATTTCAAGGCCTAAACGAGCTAGCCCGACGAGTTCAACCCGTTTTCCCGGCTCTACCTTAAACACATTATTACTGACAAAAGAACAGTTACTGCCACTGATAATAGATATCTTAGGTTCAACCAAGAAAAAAAATCATAATTTAAATTTTGTAGCTAAATATACCCCAAAAAAAATTCACAACTAAAAAAATAATAATAATAAGGACATGTTTGGTATGTTGAGAAAGTGGACTGGAAGAGAACATAGGCATATAAATTAATCTTCAATATCCATGAAAAATGAAAGAGAATACTTAAAACTTTGTTTACCATGAAACCAGGAGAGTAATTGAAATCAATAAATATAAAAATATCTAAACATCTTTCCAACTCTAGGTTGCCCCTTTCTGGCTAGCCAAACATAGGGTAGGGGATTCGCCGAAAAGAGGGGATAAGAAAAAACACCTTGATGTTAACTAAAAGAGGTCAAAGATAAAATGGTACTAGAGAGATTCTATGTTCAAACTTCTCTTATGCACTTCAATTCTTCACTATTGAGGTTAACAAGAACCACCTTGTGGATGTTTTTTAATATACATAGCCTGATGGGCTCTAGAAATCAGATGATTTATATGAATGAATTCCTTGCACATCTGGTTAATGATGTATTACCTTCAATCCTTAATATAAAAACTAGTTGACTAATTTAAGTAAATTGAAAAAATTAGTTAAATTACTTATTTATAATCGATAAATGTTCTCTTCCTTAATATACCCTTAATAATTATGTGTTAGCTAGAACCCGTAATATGTGCAACTACTACAAGAACCACTTTGAGAAAAAAAAAAAAAAATAAATATAAGAGATAAGGTATGATGGGGTCTTATATTTAGGATTAAATTGAATGTTAAACTAATTCTTATATTAAGGACTGGAACTAATATAATTTAAGATTACATCCAGACCATTAAGATTAAATTTAGATGATAAGTTGAATATCTAAATTTAATCAGAGGATGCACATGTAGAAACACGTAATAAGGCAAGGGCTTCCCCAGCATGCATTTTCTGGGATACCCTAAGTTTCCTGTAATGTTCATAAGAGAAAGGAAGAAAGAGACGAGGATGATGATCAGAGTCCACAAGCTCCTCTGGCGCTTCTATATCTCCCTCCTTTGGTCCCAACAGGAATGAAGCTATTGAGATTCTCACACTAGCTTCCTTGCATTCTACTCTATGCTTCACTGTCCCGAACCTGCCATTACTCCATACCTACACACATTTGAGCTCGTGTTTTACAGAGAGTCTAAAATACAAGTTGTATTATTCACTTCATAATTTGTAAATGATAATATTTTCTTATACATACGTATATGAATTTAGATCCGCTCAAGTTGCAACCCCTCAATTTGTTTCAATTTTAAGTTATAGTTTGGGTCGATTGAACAGTTTAAACTTGTCATTTTTATAGACATTGTAGTTCAACATAAGAAAGAAACAAATATTATATTTCCCTGTTTTAAGGGGGGGGACAATTTAAATTTTTAATCGAAATAACGTAGGAAAACGATATCGATGTTGCATCCTCCTAATTTAGGAAGGAAAGAACAGAGTAAACATTTTGATGAATCAACTGTTAAAAATTAAAAACCAGACAAATTGAGGGAATTTGCAAATTCCATAAGCATAGCGTTCGGGCAAGTTTACGAAAAATAGTCATACTTTCAATCATTTTAATTTGGAAAATCTTCTTCCATTAATAAAAAATTGTCAAGACCTAACAAATTTCAGAACTTGATGATGATTTAAGATTGAAAGCCAACAGATATTATAACTTACATGAGCAATATCACCAAGAACGGCAAAGAGGGTCCCTGGGCAAGGAGGCACATCCACAAAGGAACCAGACTTGTTCATGACTTGAAGGCCTCCCACATTTTCATCGTCTTGCAGAATGGTGAGGAAGCTTGAGTCTGTGTGGATCTGTACACCAGTTGACCCTATACTTTCTGGTGTGAAACTGTACTTGTTAATCCTAAACTGACATGGCCATCCCTTAAAATATTCAACTCCTTTCAATCCCAAACTCTCTGCCATCTTCTTTGATATATCCATCAACAACTCATGAATTGCTTTCCCATATGCTTCTATGACCTTCCTGCATCCCACACATCACAAACACATACATAGTTTGGACGACGACAACAACAACAACAAGCCTTATCTAACTAAATGAGGTCAACTACGTAAATATAATTTCATTAGATTCTATCAATAACTAACTAGTTAGATCTATTATACACTATGAGATCCTATTTCGGAACTTCCTTACAATGTCCTCATTAAATTCCCCTTATACCGTCCTTTCATAGGGCTTAAAGGCCATTTGTCAACACAAAAGTCACATAAGGCCATGCCAGTGACACTTATAACAAGCATTTTCTTTTCGGTGTGAATTTGGATGCAGCAAAAGGCAATAAGAATCCATCTCAACTGCCCATTTGCAACTTCACAAGACCACGCCAGCTTCATCCCAACTATCTATAAAATATTCCCAAGACCCGTTTTCATCAAAAAGCACACATCACCTTCGTGCAAACCACACATGATCTCTCTCTGAAGTGTGTTTGGTTTGTTTAGAATTTTTCTCACAGGCCTTGTAATTGGTGGTGTCCACTACCACTACATAGACACACACTGACATTTTTGCCCCCACTGTGGCTGCTTGCAACGAGACAAAGCTTTTCCTAAATTAATTGATGATATTATATATACAACTGTAAGGGAAAAGAGATAGATAGAAATTACGTTTGGTGCGGAGAGGCGTCTAATCGAGAGCAGAAAGATAGAACGGCGTGAGAAGAAGCCATGTCGTAGAGTCCCAAAGCCTCGTAGAGAGGATTCACCGCACTTGGAGCCATATAGCCACTTCCTGCAATTACTTGTTCAGTGTTTCGCATCTTGATCTCTACAGGAAGATCAAGTAGCGATCTCACCACTTTCTTCATCTCAGACATTAGGTTTGAATCTATCCCATGGTTCGTCACTCTGAAACATCCCCAATCTTCGCACGCCTCTCTCAGCCTCTTCATCTTCAGCTCTTGAGGATTATCTGCAGATTCTTGCAGATCGATCACTGGCACGTCGCTCATCTTTGCCACGACTTTTTCCCTCCTCCTCCTCTGCCTGCTCTTGCTTTCAATTTCTTGTCCTGACCGAGAACAAAGCGCGATGATATGGAGGCCATAGGGGTCCCACCACATTCCCAGTTGGCCGATGCTTGTCAAATTTATTGGACAATGTTTTTTTGACCTTTTTGGTAATATCACTTTTATGGTTAAAAAGATTAATAATTAGTTTTTTTCTTAATTTTTAAGGTGACATTGCTCTTTTTTTTTTTTTAACACTTTCATAGGATGCTCGCATCTCTTTTGTAAATACTTCCAAAGTAAAAATGACACTAAACCCTAATTTATATTTTATTCTTCTACTCCTGTATATAAGGTTCTCCTAACATGTTTCACTGAAATAAAACAAAAACCTTTAAATATCATTAACAGGACCTTAAAATTATAATCTTATGGCAGCAAGATCAAATCCCCGAACAGATACACAGTGTGGGGTGCGCGTTAAGTGTGAAAGTCCTTTTTATGAGAAAAGGATGAGTGGGGTAAAGAAAAAAAAATTTAAGAGACAGAGGATGATAAGAGACGCAAAAGTTGTGCTCAAGACAATGTGAGAGAGACATTAGCTGTTAGAGTTAGGATGATAAGAGATGCAAAAATTGTGCCTAAGAGAATGTGAGAGAGGCATTGGCTGATATAGTTACTTATGTATGGAAAAAAAAATGTTGTTAATTTCAATTCAAAACTTATTATTTTTCAATTAAAATTTATTATTTCCTAATGAAATATTGTCATAATCTGAAATCAAGATAAAAGGGTTAACTTATATTTAATTTTATTGGTCCAAGTGACCATTAGATTGTGGGATCAAATTCTTTTCTACTTTCCTAAAAAATTTTCCCTCCTCTGGCCCAAAAAAAAAAAAAAATCCCTCTCACCTGCAAGGGCTTCGGTGAGGGGTTCAAAATTTTTTTAATTAAAACAAACAAAATGGAATTTTTGTCATTACCTTTGAATTTCAAAACTTAAATTTGGGTTTACATTTTTTTTGTCATTTTGAAATGTTATGAATATTATAATTTCAAAGTTCTTTATCTGAAATTTTTTCTTTGAAAAACTCTAGGTATTTTTTGCACCTAAAAAATTTTTATGGTGCTTGGTGATCCTAGTAGAATATTTTATGGATAAGTTTGTACCTTAATCTTATATTTATCAATTCCTAAACCTTGTTTCTGTACCTTGTCCTATGAGTTCTTTTTCTCCCAGTGGTAAAAGAAAGTTAGCTTATTTGCCATAAAGTTATACTACCTTAGATAATTAATTTACAAATATTAAAAAAATTAGTTAAATTAGTGATTCACTTATTTGTAATGAGTGTGAGTTATATTCCTCAAAATATTCTTATTAATTATGTGTATTTTACTTGGTAGAAAACTTTTAACATGTATAATCATCATAAGAATTACTTATGGGCAAAAGATAAATATGAAAAACAAAGTAGATTAATATCTTATATTTATGATCAAATTAAATCTACTACTAACTCTTATATTAAAAATTGGTAACAGTATTTTGCAAAATTATCCTTATAAAAATTTGGCGGAATGAAAATCAAACTGATAAAAATTGATAGGAGTGGCAAAATGGAGCCGAGTAAGAAATATCTATATAAAACAAATTATTGGTATGCTTGAAAAACGCGAGGAAGCACTTCCTTACCTATGGCATGATAGAAATTGGAAATAATGAACACGAAAGTAATGAAAATGGACAGACATAAAAAAACCTCAACATTCCTAATCATAAGTGTCCACCAGGAATGAAAGTATCCAGCTGCAAATTGGATCGAGCTCGTTTAGGAAAATTGTGAGGGACGGAATTTAAAATTTTGTTATTCAAATGGTAAGTGAGCCCATATAAGGGTTGGGCTTCGTAAAATGACCTTGTTTTTTTTCTAAAATTAACCCATTTAGGCCCATGGCTTGTGAAAGCTAGCCCTGCAGGACTGACCGTTTACGGAAGGCAACTTAACATGAAGGTATGGGGCCAGGATAGTCTTTTTAATTTGTAAAACTAATTTCCATCCAAACCGCGACGTCCCAATTTCCATTGTCTTTTGAATGTAATGAAAATCAAAGAAATTTAGCAGAGGGAGTTTAATCCCTATAGATTTGTTAGTGGTGTTTTATTAATCACTGATCATACACTCAAAGCCTCTGACTTTTTATAATGTTTTGAAAAAATGAAATTAGCAAAAGAAACCCCAAAGTAAAGTAAGACTCTCCTTTAATTTATAAAGCAAAACTAGACGGATCAATAAAATACTAAACAATAATTCATCTTACATCACCTTCATATTCTTTTAATTTTATAGTAGTATTACAAAATAACCCTACTCCGAACAAGTTTGGTTTTATAATGAATTTGGAAGTGTAAATTTGTTAGCAGTAATTATTTATTTCTTTACTTAAAGAGATCAAAATGATTTATCTAGTTTAAAACTTGAGACGCCAAAAAAAAAAAACCAAAATAACTAAACATGAAATTCTTCATTAAAAATAAACCATGAATGATGTTAAATATATTTTTTTTTCTGGGATGAAGTATGAGTATAAACTCAAAGTTTACACCCTCTCTCTCTCTCTCTATATATATATATAAATATATAAATATATATGCTAGGTATAAAATTCTTCATCACAATCATCAAACTGAGAATGATTCTGAATACATATAACTTGATGGGCTCTAGAAATAAGATGATTTATACGGATGACTTCCCTGCAAATGTCTGTTGTGATTTGAGACTACATCGAGGGCATTAAGAACTCATAATTAGATTATTTATTGATTTATTTGAAATCTAAATAATCCAAATTTAATCCGCGCGTAAGAAGGCGAGGGCTTCTCCGGCATGCATTTTCTGGGATACCCTAAGTTCCCTGTAATGTTCATAAGAGAACGGAAGAAAGAGACGAGGATGATGATCAGAGTCTACAAGCTCCTCTGGTGCTTCTATGTCTCCCTCCTTTGGTCCCAACAAAAATGAAGCTATTGACACTCTCACACTTGCTTCTTTGCACTCTACTCTATGCTTCACCATCCCGAACCTGCCATTACTCCATACCTACACACATTGAACTCGTGTTTTACATACAGCTTAAAATACAAGTTGTATGTTTTATTCATTTCATAATTTGTAAATAATACAATTTGATTATGCATCATAAACACGTGTTTGGATATCTTAAAAGTTGCAGTCTCATCATAAACACAAGTCACCAGCATTTCTTTAAGGCAAACAATAGTTTGTTATAGCAAAAAACTGAGTAGCCAAACATATGCTTCACATTTTAGATTCATCATTTTTATAAAAATTTAACTAAATTAAAATATGAAAGAAACGAATATTGTTGCATTCTCCTTGGGAAGGGAAAAAGTAACATAGTTCATCAATTGCTGTAAGTTATATTACCTCTGATTCTTTTTATAAGATTCAAATAATTAAATTATGTATTTTAAGAAAGGAAAAATTTCAAAAAAAAATATTTATAAAATTTCAAAATCTCAAATCAAGAATGACTACAAAAATATATTGTTATTTGCTTTTCAAATGTTATCAAGTGTTTATTAAAGTGTAGTGAATAAGACTGATTTGGAATTTTGAAATTCAAAGGTATTTTTTTAGGATTCTCCCTTTAAGAAACCTATTAAAATTAATTAAAAATAATAAGTATGTAAAGAATATTTTTTTTTTTCAAATATACTTTTATTTATAAGAGAGTAAGCATGACAGAGAGAGAAATGGTAAGAAAAAATATAAAAAAGAATATAAGGTAAAAATACATTTAATATTCAGACAACTCCTAACTCAATTTTATAAAATAGACCAGAGGGAGTATCATTCTTCTGAGTGTAATTTTTTGCGCAACAAAATCATTTATCAAAGTTTTATAATCAAACAACTATATCGTACATTTCAATCTCCAGTTGATAATGATTTAATATTGAAGGCCAAGAAATATCAGAACTTACGTGAGCAATATCACCAAGAATGGCAAAGAGGCTTCCTGGGCAAGGAGGCACATCCACAAAGGAACCAGACTTGCTCATGACTTGAAGGCCTCCGACATTTTCATCATCTTGCAGAATAGTGAGGAAGCTCGAGTCTGTGTGGATCTGTACACCAATTGACCCTATACTTTCTTGCGTGAAACTGTACTTGTTAATCCTAAATTGACATGGCCATCCCTTAAAATATTCAACTCCTTCCAATCCCAAACTCTCTGCCATCTTCTGTGATACATCAATCATCAACCCCTGAATTGCTTTACCATATGCCTCTATCACTTTCCTGCATACCACATGTTATAGACAAGGTACTGAAAACTGAATTGTTTAATTAAATTGATCGAGATAGTAGTTCAAAGATCAGTGATCCAACCATAATTAAATCAGAGTCAACCCAATCATGATTATGAGAAAATATTTTAATTAAAAATGTACAAAAACATTCATATATAATTCTAAAAAATTAATATTTAAATTAAAAGACATAAATCTACAAGTAAATAGAACATTCATATATGATGGATAATAAACTTACATTGTTTTAGCCTTAGTAGGAGAAGGTGGAAAAAAATATTAAATCTAACTCAATTGACTCATTCAAAGTTCTTAACTAGATCGGTCAACTGAGACTATGGTTTATCAGTTTATTGATTTGACTAGCCGACTCGAATTGAGTTTTATAATAGCATGGTTATAAGCTTGCATGGCAATACAATGAATGAATGCAAAGAAAAAGTGATACAGAGAGAGAGGGAGAGTTACGTTTGGTGGGGAGAGGAATGTAATGGAGAACAGAAAGCCTGCACAGCTTGGGAAGAAGCAATGTCATAGAGTCCAAAACCTTCATAAAGAGGATTGGCTGCACTTGGAGGCATATACCCACTTCCTGCAATAACATCACTATTTCGCATCTTAATCTCCAGAGGAAGATCAAGTAAAGATCTCACCTCCTTCTTCATCTCTCCCATCAGCCTCCAATCAATACCATGGTTCATCAATCTGAAGCATCCCCACTCTTCACACGCCTCTCTCATCTTCTTCTTCAGTTCTTGAGGATTCTCTGCTGATTCTTGCAGATCAATCACTGGGATATTGTTGTTGTCGTTGGTTGCCGCCATGCCTTCTCCTCCTCCTCCTCCTCCTTCTTCTTCACCTGTGGTTTTTTATTAATCATGAACACTCAGCCGGGTACCTCCCTCTGCTTTTATCCCCATCTTTTCTTGCCTAACACATCTTTTCTGGGGATCTTTCTGATGAACTTTTTCATAGCTTTGTCCTCTTCTTGAACCGTTTTTCTCTTACCAGGCCTCTATGTTTTTTCTGGGGTCCCACCATGGTTCCATTTAACTGAATCACGTGAGTTCAAAAGGTTTGTTGAAACTAATTTAGCTTCTACTTCTTTTTTCTTTTTTTTTTTTTAATTTAGGCCAACATTATTCCAAAACTATTCTTTATTTTTTTTTTGTCATTACAATTTTCTCTCTCTCTATTGATATTGTTGAACCAAATTATTAAATCTTAAATCGTAAAGGTTATTTTTAAAAAATATTTTGGTCAAGTTTCTTATATTTATTATTTCAAGTTTTTCAACCAAATATGGCTATATGTCATATTTTTTCACGTGAGTTTATAATTAAATGATAATATTTCAAAAATAAGACATATGGTCATACATGATTGTAAAACTTAACATAATAGATATACATAATTTAATATAAGTATGGTCCATACTTTTTTCATAAAAAAGTTATATTTAAAAAAGAAACGTAGGAATAAGTATTGAGAGACCATCTTTTTTCTTGTGCCCTTGTCTTGGGTCCAGACAATGGAGTTTATAAAGACTGTAAAGTGACTAATACCTTATCAGTATTACTATTTTTCCAAAAGCTTTACTATTTCCTGTTAATGAACGATGACGAATTAAGAAGCCATGAAGGTTGTACTATAGAATGTTCGGCATAACGGAAATGCGTGACTCATCCTCCTTTCTTATACTCCCTCTAGTTCTTAATACAAGAATTAAATAACTAATATACGTATTAAAAAATTAGCCAAGTTTGTTATTTGTAGTAAATATATGTTATTTTTTTATAATATTTTTTTTAATTATGTGTATTATAATTATGTATTGATGAAAATCATTATAATATGTGTAATCAATAAAGATATTTTAATGAAAGCTTATAAATTTGAGAGGCTAAGTGAATTGATGTTTTATATTAAGAATCAAAATAAACTCATTTGTCTAGCTCATATATTTAGAACTAGAGGTGTAGTATTTTTAATCCCCTCAGTCTCTTCTTTCCCCTTCTGTTAATTTTCTCACTAATGCCAAAAAAAAAAATTACAATGGACATTTTACACCAATTGTGGTGGGAAGGATGTAAAAACTCAATAGTATTTTTTTTTTTGGGGATAAAAAACTCAATACTATTTTCATAAATAAATTTGAGATTGTTGACTTTCTACACTGATTCTATTAGCAACTGTTATAGAAAAGACCTTTTATACCCTTTCAAACAAGTAAAGTAAATAATTCTTTAAGTTATTGAACAATTTACCCTTTCCTAACTAGTTAAAATTACAACCGGTGTAGGAAGTGAAGAAATATTTTGTTATCCTTTAACTTTTTTACATCAATTAAAAGTAATCGGTGTTGGAAATCTGTTTTCAGCATCAACGAAATTTATACCAATTACAAAACCAGTGTAAAAATCCTCTTGTTAACCTTTTTGAAAAGGCATTTTTGCACTAGTGTCTACTCCTTCACAAAAATGGACGAATTTTAGGAGGGGAAAAAAATCACTTAGCTTATTCACCCTTATCACCGTATAAAAAAACACTTGGCTTATTTTCAATAAATTAATGTCAATCATGTTTTTGGTAGGCATCATTTAACCATTGCTGATTACGTACGAAGAAATTTGATTGTGTGGATTAGGGATCCAAATAAACTAATAAGAGATAAAAATAGAGAAAAGTAAAGATTAGATTCTACTACATAACTTAATAAAAAGAAGTTGTGTATCTAAACTGCATTATTGAATACAAATGATTATAAGTATCTTTTTATTAAAGGCAATCTTGTTTGAAGCACTGTGAAGTATTAAATGTAGACACTTTCTCTCAGTGAGAATTTGAATCTTGGTTCATCATATTGTGAGAGACTAGTTTTTTTCACTAAACCCAACCTCTTATTAGTTAGGATTCAAGATTTGAAGGGGCATGTAGAAGGGCTAGGGCTTCACCGGCACGCATGTTCTTAGATAATCTGAGCTTCTTGTAATATTCATAAGCAAATGGAAGAAAGAGAGGAGGGCGATCATCAGAATCCAGCAATTCTTGGGGTGCTCGTACTTCTTCTTCCTTTGGCCCCAGTAGAAATGAAGCTATTGAAACCCTAACACTCGCCTCCTTACATTCTACTCTATGCTTCACGGACCCAAACCTTCCATTGCTCCATACCTTTATCATGTTACAAATTAAACTTTCAAGCTCATCAAAATTGTATCAGCCAGTAAACTAAATAATCAGTTTGGTCTAATAACATGCACAAACATACAAAATGTTCAATCTATATAATATGTGAAGTACCGATTAGATTTTATTTTATGTGGTAATTAAGGAGGCGGGACAATTTGTGGGGATCCCGCACAGAACCTCTCCTATGCCTTGCCCTGCTCTTAGCATCCTCTTCCTTAATCCTCGTCCTTCATTTTATCTACATCCTATTTTATAACCCATTCTTACTTTTTAAATACTCATAGTTCAGATTTCACATAATGCACAAAATATTAAATTGGACTAGTTACAAATTCAGTCATCAGATGTCGTGCGTGATGACCTTATGTGATTTTCTTTTTCTATAATTGATAATAAAAAATTAAAATTTGTCTTAAAATACCACTTAATAAAGCTTCAAATTAAGAAAAAACAAACATCTAATTCATAAGATTGATTTCTGAAAATATAAGATATTGCAACTTATATTAATTTTCTTTTAAAAATGAGATATAGCAATTTGTATTAATCTTCTTATTAAAAAAATAAGATACTGCAATTTATACCAGATTGATCTTGCAGTGTTAAGTGTGTGTTGTTAGGCATAGATGAAATATAGGATGAGGATTAAAGAAGAGGATGATAAGAGGAGAGGAAGACATATGAGAGGCTCCGTGCCCCCCGGGGGGACCCATGGTGGCTTCAATTTTAGGGATCAGCATAATAATGAAAGACAATCTACCATTAATTTAAAGAGATGACTAGTGTATAGAGTTGGGGTAGCCAAGAGAATATGCTAAAATGGACGTATGATCATAAGAAAAGATAAGATTCATAATGAATATATAGGATGAAGAATTTGTGTGACAACTATTAAAGAGAAAAAAGAGGTGAGATGATTTGGGCATATACAACATTACAAACAGGGCCATTAGAAGTGTCAGTGAAATTGATAGATTAGACAATATAGAGTTTGAACGGTTAACAATTTATCCAAAATTTTAATTGTTACAAAACATAATAGTGCCGCATGATCTTAGCTCATCTGACCTAGTGAGATAAGACTTATTAGTGGTTTTTAATTATAAAATTCCAGTTAATTCTAGTTTCAATATATACTTTTTTCAACACGAGTCTTAGATAATTAAATTCATTAATAAATACGTTATTCTGAATATAAACTACAAAAATGAACAAGTCAGCTGAATTGAGTTTAAAAACCAAGTATTGTACTATTTGATTTGCTTGATTAGGGTTTAATTAAGAGGAAGCTAAAGAACTTACATGGGCAATATCACCAAGAATGGCGAGGAAGCTGCCAGGGCAGGGAGGGACATCCACAAAGGAACCAGACTTGCTCATGACTTGAAGGCCTCCAACCTGTTCATCATCTTGCAGAATGGTGAGGAAGGCACAATCTGTGTGGATCTGTACACCTGAGAACCCCACAGTTTGTGGTGTGAAGCTGTACTTGTTGATCCTGAACTGGCATGCCCATCCCTTGAAATAATGTTCACATCTTCCTTCTTCTAACCCCAAGCTCTCTCCCATCTTCTCTGCTATCTCCATCAACACCTCATTCACTGCTTTCCCATACGTCTCTATCACTTTCCTACATACTTCATTATTAAGATCCACGTATTTCATCTCGTGCTTATAATTAAACATATGTCTCCATCACTTCCCATATGTCTCAATTAATATTCATATTTTAATTAATAATTATTAAGATCCACACAAAAATGTAAAATGTTTTCCACATGAGAAATAGAAGGGGAGAAGAAAGGCGACGGTTTGAAAGAGTGATTAAGGGTCGATTAATATAATTGTATATAATTTAGTTAAACTTGAAAAAATAATATTTAAAAAATAGGAAAATGATTAATTCACAATAAATGAAACACTACTCATGTACAGATATACTATATATATAAACAAAAAAATATTAAAGCACAAATATAATGCTTTTGCTGTTTCTTTTTAACTCAAAATAATGTCATTTCAAACTCAATGAGAAGAGAAAAACTATACTTTAAAGTACTTTCTTCAATCCTAAATATATAGGATAATGACAAGGGGCTTACTTTAATCCCGAACATAAAACTTTAATCCACTTTGTATGTTTTTCAAATTTATGAATTTTTTTTTGGAGGTATCCTTATTTATTGTGTAACATCCTTATTTTAATCCAGTATTTAATTAAATTTATAAATAAATATATTTTAGTATTAAGTTAAAAAAAAAGAAGAAGTTAGATATAGGCAAATTATTATTATTATTATTTTAATAATGTTTTTGTATGTGATTGCGTGTATGTGTGGATGATATTCTAGAAAATTAAACCATGGTATAGAAGTCCCACATTGACTAATTTTTAGAGTGAAGGAGTTTGAGGAGTCTATATATAGGAGCTAGTGGGTGGAGCTTAGAGTAAGTAAATAATTTTCGCACATATCTGAGGTGGTCTCAGAAAAGTGCTAGTTTTGATTTTATTAACCGTTGGATCGGACTGAAATTTGGTCAGTCCATTTGGGACATCCAAATCGTTAATTTCAACGGTTGGATCACCCTTTTGATCTTCGAGTTACAAGTTATTAAGTACATTTTTAACTTATATCTTTTGGATTTAGCAGATAGAGTTCTGAATAGTAAATTAGCATTCTAAAGTTTATTCACTGTTAGATTGAGCTATAATTTGGAGGATAGTATCATGATGGATAAGAAATTAAATTCAACGGTTAGATTATAGGTTTAACTTCTGTAGTGAGAATAACTTGGTTCGTACTAAGTCTATTTGTCTAAATCTTTCAAAGATGGAATATAAGTTATAAATTTATAGTTTGTCTATTTCCATTATGAATTTGATGATTCTAATGAAATAATCTAATAATTAAAGGATATTTAAGTAAGAAAATTTAGAAATTGAGTCTAAATCACATATATATATATATGTGTGTTCTCATTCTAAACCTTAGAGAAATGTCTTTTAGGCTAGAGTTCTAAGTAAAATTAAAGCTTTTAGAGAAGGAGTTAGAGGCTAGAATTTTGTGAGTAGCCTACTCAATTACTATAGAGATAATATTTTAATTTTGTTTGTAGATATAAACTCTATTGTGGCATTTTCGAGGTTGGACTCTGGTTGTAGTTGACTGATAGCTAGTAGACCAGGTAACTAAATTTCTATCTGTTGCATGCTCTAATATGAAGTTGGTGAGTAGTTTTATAACTAATTCTATAAAAGTATATTACGTTTTGTATGAACTGTCTTGTGGGATGCTATTTTAAAAAGGATTGACATAGTTTGTATTGCAAGAAATTGGTGATCATGATTATAATGTGTTATTATGAAATTCTGTTGATTATGCATATAAATGTGTCATTTTGAACCCTGTGCATCTATTTTGGGTGGGGAAAGGAGATAATTGGAGTTATTGAGATTCATATACTTGCCACGTGGTATTAGCCTCCATACGGAGCTCTATGGTTGGCTGCTATTATTGTCCCACTAGTTCTTCGAGGGACTGCGACACCCCACTAGTTCTTCGGGGGGGACCCATGGTCCACCGAGTGCTCTGTGGTCTTTGGCCGGTCCACATCATTCGTGTGGTGAGCTTGTTAGAGTTGCCAGTCAAATGGAAAGATTAGCCCATGGGTCCAGTCGGCGGAAATAAGGAGGATATAAGGATGGATTTGGGTTCAGGAATTGCATATGACATGAGATATTCATTGATATTTATATCTTTTAAATATATGACAAGTATGTTATCTCTTTTGAAATGTATCCATTGCATGAGAGTGGTGGAAATACTTGTCTTGTATGATTATTGTGAGTTTAAATTTTAAATAAATGTTTATCAAATATTATTAACTCTGTGTATCCCACCTGACACCTCGCTAGCCCATGCTAGGGTGTGGGATAGGTAGGGATTTAGTTACTGAGACGTTGTCTCACTCCTGTTGCTTTACCATTTTCAGGAAACAATACGTTAGCGGGACCTTCGGGGAAGACTCCTGAGGCTCAATAACTGTAGCTGACAGTATAGAGCTTCTGGACTTTATTTTATGTAATCTTTTCGTATATTGCCACACATCAGGACTGCATTCATTTAGAACTTATTTTACCTCCTTATATTTTCATGTCGTTTGACTTAGTGGATGTATTATACTTTCTATCTTTGGTTTATTTTGTCTGGACATTGGACTAGAGTGCTGGTAGTGGGCCTGAGGCCCTTAAATTGCACGTGATTGAATTACTGTGGATCCACGATGTGATAATAGCAATTTTGGCAAGTTTAGTTGTTGCTAGTGTTGACTAAGATAGTCAAGTCTAAACTGCTATTATAATTTATCATTCAAAAGTGTATTGTTTTATAACCATGTTTGCCATGATTACAAATATAGGTTATTCTTTTTCTAACCATGATAGTCTTAATTAAGGTCGAATGTTTTTCTATTATGGTTAGCCCTTTAATGATGTGATTGCTCTTAAATAACCATGATAGGGTATGTTTACTAGTTTTAATCTTTTCTATCATGGTTAGTTCTGGTTAGTAAGTGATGATATTACATATTGCACATATTAAGAGGATTTTAATCAAGTCAGCATATGATTAAAGAGAGTATTTAAGAAAAACTAACACAAATTTGTTACAAATGATTAATAATTGCCTAATTTACTTAATACCTGTATATTAATTATTTCACTCTTATATTAAAGATTAAAGTTAAGGGGCCTCTCCTCTTCCTTTGCTAACCATTACATCAATATTTCAATGGTTCATATTTTAATTTCTTTAAAATTATTATTGAAATATTAAATTATTAAAATAAATAGATAATAAAATACAAATTACTAAAACTTAATTTCAACAATTTACAAATGCACTAGAGACTTTTAAAAAAAATTTATAAATAAAGTTTTTTTTAAAAATAAAACCTAAATTGTTGGAATTTGTCTATGTAACAGTCAGAAAAAGAAGAAAAGAGAAGAGAGGACAGCCCTCTCCAAGTCCAACTTAATCAATTTGTTCAAAACTTTTAACCAATCAGGGACTCGTTCAGTAGTCTGACCAACCAATTGACCCGAGTTGAGTTTTAATACTCAGAAAAGAAAATGTAAACTAACCTTTGGTGGGGTGAGGCATCTAATTGAGAACAGAAAGCCTGGATAGCTTGAGAAGAAGCCATGTCGTAAAGTCCTAAGCCTTCATAAAGAGGATTGGCTGCACTTGGAGGCATATACCCACTTCCTGCAATAACATCACTATTTCGCATCTTAATCTCCAGAGGAAGATCAAGCAAAGATCTCACCACCTTCTTCATCTCCGCCATTAAACTTGAACTCACACCATGGGTCTTCACTCTGAAACATCCCCATTCCTCACACGCCTCTCTCAGCTTCTTCTTCACTTCCTGTGGCTTTTCTGCAGATTCTTCCAGATCAATCACTGGGATGTTGCAGATAGCCATGGCTTCTTTTCTTTCTTTCTTTCTTTCTTCTTCCTCCTCTTGCTTCTGCCTTCTATATATTGCCGAAATGATCTTTCCAGGTAGAGTTATAGTGGGATGGATCGAAGATTGGACGGATCTGAGACTTAATTACATGACCCTCGTGGCGTTTTTTGATTCGTCGGTTTTCAGCTTCCAGTCAATGGATGGTATTTCATTGTTGTAAGCCAAATAAAGTGGAAGTAGCACAGAAGGAACAAGTAACTACTGGTTTTTAGAGGATAATTTCTAGACGCCCTTGTGGAACGTGGAAGACTTTATTTGAGTAGAAATTATTTTTTAATAAGAAAATTATTTGGAAAAATAAAATTAGTTAATAATGATTGATCAATTTATTTAAATAGTCATATTTTAATATGTAATAAACAAATCAATCATTTTAGTAGGAGAAAAATGAGATTTGAAGATCTTGTACAAGAGTACTATAATATCTTTGTCTCACATGTTTAGTGTTTATAATTAATACATAATAATAGAGGTAGATAACAAATTATTAGATGTTGGACTCTCCAGTAAATTATATGAATATTAATTGAGTATAAAGATTTTGATTATTCATATATCTAGAGGTTTCAAAGTTTATGCCAATTCCTCTTCCAAAAATTATTTTTAACATTTATAGTTAAAATTTTCTTTTCATCTGTTTTTCATGAAGTAAAATAATATCAATATAAAAAAGTCAATTATCATACTAATTTTCTCCCTTAACTTCCGCGATTAAAACCATGTAGATTTGCTTTGGCAGTTTTTCTCTCCTTCCCTTGGGACCTGGGGTCCCTTTAGCTTATTATCACCACAAAATTTAATAATGAACTGACACTATTACAACAGATATTTTTTACTTCTGTTCTGGAGAACTTTTAATTTTATCTCTGTTTTGGGGATATAAAACGAAAGGACACTATAATTAAATCTTTTTGGGCTAACTACAATTTTATGACTTTGATGTGTCGACCATTGAATTGGAAGCACAATATAAAAAATAATTAATAGGTTCAATTCTAGTTCCTTCATATATGAAATATGGCATGCATTATGAATCAGAAAAATGAATTCTATTAGAGAACCAAATGATTGGAAAATTTCAAATCTCGAACTGAAGTTTTTTTTTTAAAATGGTATGGGCCCAAAAGAAATTAAATATAAATACCACCACATATCTTAGAGAAAATACACTAAATGACCCTAGTCTTTTTCTAAAATATTTTTTAAAAAATTCCACTTCCATTTCTGCACACCAAACATGCCATAAGATTCAAACTTCCACTCTCAAATTGTTAATTATGTTAATTTTAGATTAAAAAAAACTCCATGCAAATCTTTTGAAAAATATTGCAGTAACTGATTTAAACTTTTCTTTTAGTCGTCAAATGCCATTTTCCCTTCCATTATTCAAGTTCAGTTCTTAAATTAATAAAATATTAAAATTGGAGTTTCCGTAATTGTTCTTCTCCGCCTCAATTTCCGTAATTGTCAAGACTTCAATCACTAATGGCCGGTTTGGTATAATTCATTGCTTCAAAAGTTTCCCTCTGCTAGGGTTTTCCTCTCCCTCTCCTGGGGTTTCTCGCTCCGTCGAGTTGCGGCTATGATGCTGCTCAGGCGTCGGCCTCTCCCTCTTCTCCAGAGGGTCTCTTCTCCTCTTCCAATGAGGGTCTATTCTCGTGTCCCAACGGCGTGGCCATCGTGTGTGCCGTTTGGGTGCACATCCTCTGAAGGTGATGATCAAGGAGGTTTGGTGGATGGACGAGATAAGGGTTGCAAGTCAAGTTCTATGGTGAAGGTCTTCGAAGCAGACCTCCGGTGGGTGCCTCCATGGGTCTTGGTACTGCGGATTTGCTCAAGATGGTTGCTTTCTCTCCATACAGTTAAAAGGATGGCGGTGAGGTATGATACGAAAACTAGGAATTGGGGATTCTCTGTTGCTCTAACGGTGGTTCTGAATTTCCTTGAGCAAAGGATTTCAGTGATGAGGATTTTGGGAGTCCTGGGTTATGAGGTTCGGAAGACAAAAAGGCGGGGAAGAACTCGAATGGTTGGCCTAAATTCAAATAGCAGGGCTATTGAGATCTACTATGAAAGAAGTTATGACTGGTTTGTGTTTGTTGTTTGCCTTTTTTCTCCTACCGATGGGAGTATGGCTGGTTCCTTTGTTGCTCGAGTTTCTCATTTTTGGTTTTCAAATGGCCTTTTATGGATCATCTTCTCTGTTATGGATAGGCTCTTGCTTGTTCAGTGTGTCCATTATCACTGTTCATCTATGGGCTGGAGCTATGTCCCCCTCCTTGAGGATTTTATCTCTTCAAGGAATTTTTTCAGGAATCATTCCCGTGAGTGGATTCCCACATAAGCATATTTAGTAACTGATAGAGTTGCTAAAGCTTCAATGAAGGGGCCTTACCAGTCAAATTGGGTGTTGCGACCCTTTTTTCAGGAGCAATGGTCGTTGGATGTTGCGTCACTTGTTCTCATGTTGTTTTCAATTTTCCTTGTTTCTGTAATTACTTTCTTTGTTCTGGTTTGGGTTGCCTGTGTTTGTTTTGTTTTGGAGCTTTGTTGAAGCTTTGTACTTGTACCTGTTCTACTTAGTAATACATGTTTGTTGGCAAAAAAAAAAATGGCCGGTTTGGTATATAGAATCTGTTGAGCGTGGCCCAGGAAAATTGAGAGAACAAAAAATATTATTCAACTAAAACTCATACATCCTCTAATCTCTTTACAAACCAATCAGTCCACATATATATAGGCCTCAGAACAGATACAGGAAATGGGCTTTGAGAACAAGCCCAATAATAACTTAAGCCTAATACAGAAGAACAAAATGGAATTCTAACACTCCCCCTCAAGTTTGGAACTATATATATTTATAGTTCCTAACTTGCTCAACATTTTTTGCTGACACTCCTGTCCTACAGCTTTAGTCAGAATATCTGCCTCCTGATCGCCAATGCTCACATGATACAAGCTGATTAATCCATTCTGCAATTTCTCTCGAACGAAGTGGCAATCGATCTCGATATGCTTTGTCCTCTCGTGAAACACTAGATTTGATGCTATATGTATAGCAGCTTTGCTATCACAAAAGATCTTTACATGTTGCGGATGACACACATTCAAATCCCCAAGAAGTCCTTTGACCCAAACTATTTCTGACACAGCAGCTCCAAGTGCTCTATACTCAGCCTCCGCTGATGATCTTGATACGGTAGTCTGTTTCTTAGTCTTCCAGGTAATTAGAGAGTCTCCCATTTTCAACAAATATCCAGTCACTGACCTCCTTGTAGTAGCACAGGCTCCCCAATCAGAGTCACAAAAACAAGTAATCAGCAAGTCTGTATTGGAGCTAAGCAGAATGCCCAGTCCAGGATTCCGCTTCAGATATTTCACTACTCCCAACCCTGCTGCCCAATGAGCCTTGGTTGGAGCCTAGTTATTGTCAGATATATCAATCTGCCTATTAACCTCCTGTAGCGTTCAGGTTCTTTTAACAGGTCTTTATCATCATCCTTTCCTTTCTCATAGGCTCGCAGCTTGAGTTTCTATCCCATTGGGACTGATAGTGGCTTACATCCACTTAATCCTGCATCAGCAATTAAATCAAGCGCATATTTTCTCTGTGACAGAATGATTCCCTTTTGGGATCTAGCTATCTCTATTCCTAAAAAATACTTTATTTCTCCAAGATCTTTAATCTTAAATTGTTTATGCAAGTAATCCTTTACTTCCCTTATTATGTCCTCAGAATTACCAGTCACCAGTAAGTCATCAACATAAACCAGAATCAAAACAAATTCTGTGTCAAATCTCTTGATGAACAAAGAATAGTCATGTTTACTTTGAACAAAACCACCAAGCCTTAAAGCAGTGGTTAACTTAAAGTTCCACTGACTTGAGGCTTGTTTAAGTCCATACAAAGATTTTTTTAATCTGCAAACCATGTTCTCCCCCTTACGCTCAAAACCCTGTGGAATTGACATATAAACTTCATCATATAAATCTCCCTGTAACAATGCATTATGGACATCCATTTGAAATAAATTCCAATTATTTACAGCAGCTAATTTAAGCACAATTCTCACAGTTATCATTTTTACCACAGGAGAAAAAGTCTCATGATAATCAATTCCTTCTCTTTGGCTGAATCCTTTAGCTACAAGTCTTGCCTTATATTTATCTATGGTTCCATCAGCTCTATACTTGATTTTATATATCCATTTGCATCCAATAGGCTTCTTCCCTTTGGGAAGAGGCACTATATCCCAAGTTTTATTATCTTCTAAAGCATTCATCTCATCTTTCATGGCCTTAACCCAATTAGCATTCTTCACAGCATCAAAGTAAGTAGTAGGTTCAACATTGGAGTCAATAGCACGTAAAAAATAAAGATGAGAAGCAGAAACATGCTTGTAAGACATATATTGCTCAATGGGATATACACATGGTTTATTGAGTTGATTCTGTTTTGCAGTATTATCTCCTATCAACATATTACAGACATAATCTTTGGCCTAAACAGGCGGCCTTCTTTCTTTAATAGGTCTAAAATGACTCTGCTCAATCATGTCCTGGTCAAGAACATCACCTTCAAAGGTATTTGGGTTGACAGACTGCTCATTGGACGCATTGTTGTTATGTACTGTGTTTTTATTTACTATATTTTCTTCATTCATCTCAAGGTCAAACATAAACAGATCTGTACGCTTAAACACTCCCCCTGGGTCAGTGCCTACTGCCTCATGGAAAGGGAATTTATCTTCTATGAACTTAACATGCCTACTTGTAAAAATTCTCTTGCTGAAAATGTCAAGCAAGACAAAGCCCTTTTGATTGTTGGGGTACCCAAGGAAAACACAAGGCACTGACCTAGGTTTGAATTTATCTGTGACAGTCAAATCAGATGCATAAGCTAAACAGCCAAACGTTCTAATGAGATCATAATCTGGGAGCTTGTGGTAAACTATCTCATAAGGTGTCTTATGGGCTAATATCTTAGAAGGAATTCTATTAACCAAGTAGGTAGCCATTTTAACACATTCTCCCCGATATTTGACAGGCATATTAGATTGTATCATTAGACTCCTAGAAATCTGCATTAATGTTCTATGTTTTCGCTCAACTATGCCATTCTGTTCAGGGGTATAGGCACATGATCTTTCATGTATAATTCCTCTGCTTTTAAGAAAATGCTGCAGATCATGACACAAAAATTCTAGGCCATTATCTGTACGAATCCTCTTAACATGAACAGAAAATTGATTTAGAATATATGCTATAAATTCCTGTACATGTAACACAGTTTCAGATTTATGTCTCATCAGAAAAATCCAAGTACTTCTGGAAAAATCATCAACAATAGTCAAGAAATATTGACGCCCATTATGTGTTGGGGTTCAATAAGGCCCCCATACATCTAGGTGAAGCAATTCAAAGCAAGTAAGGGTTTTAATGCAGCTAGGAGAAAAGGGCAATTTCATTTGTTTAGACTGTATGCAAATCTCACAGACTTTATTGCTATTAATTTCTTTATCAAAAACAAAATTTAAATGTCTCAAGACAGATACAGGGGCAAGACCAAGCCTTTTGTGCAACAAAGAAACATCAAAGTTCTTAAAATTCTTCCCTACATCATCAACAAAACTAACAAATTCTTGATTTGTGGTCTGTAATATGTAAAGTCCATCTACCAATCTACCAGTCGCCCTCAATTTGCCAACCTGAAGGCCCTGCATAATACAGATATTAGGAAAGAAAGCTACAACACAATTATGTTCCTTGGTGAATCTAGACACAGAGATTAAATTGAATTTTAATCTAGAGGCATATAGGACATTAGTTAATCTAATTCCATCCGAAAAAGTCACTGATCCTACATGAGTCACGGAAACTCTATCACCATCAGGCAGCTTAATTGTTTTGACAAACCCAGTGTATATTTCATAACCATCTAGCAGAGAAAGGTCGCTTACTAAATGAGTTGTGGCACTCGAATCAATTACCCAATTGGTGTGTGGATGTGTACGAGAAGGGGAATTAGCCAAACCTGTACTAGTAAGAGCGTGAACGGTTTCTTCTGCATCTTTCTTTAAGAGTTGGAGAAGTTTCTCATATTGATCCTTGGTGAATGAAGGAGTAACGGTGTTGGCCGAATGAGATTCAATTTTCGAATCTGAATTTGTCTGTTTCGCAGTGGCATCCTGATTTCCTCTCCCCTTGGAGGCTTTGAAATCCGGTGGATACCCAATCAATTGGAAGCAATTTTCTCTCGTGTGGCCCTTCTTGTGACAGTGGCCACACTCTGGAGGAGGTCCTCTTCCCCTCCCCCTGCCTCGGCCTCTTCCTCTAGTCGCCATTGCAATTCCCTCCACCGGGGAGTTCTTAGATGATTGGGCTATGGTTCTTTATGCTTCGTCTTCAGCAACCATGGCAAACGCTTGATTGATGGTGGGTAAGAGACTCATTAAGAGGATCTGGCTCCTGGCTCCCGCGTACGAGTCGTTGAGACCTTTAAGAAACCGAAGCAACTTCTGTTGCTGGTTGATGTCATTCTTCCTTTTTGAAGCGCCACACTTGCATCATGCACAGGACAGTGCTGCCATCAACGCCGATTGTTCCTCCCAGAGTTCTTTTAACTTGGAGTAATAGACGGATACTGACAGTCCTCCTTGGTGAAGTGAGTTGATTTCACGGTAGATAGAAAAAATTCTTGAACCGGTGATTTTGTCATACTGTTCTTTAAGATCGGTCCAAACGAGATGGGTACTCTGGTAGAAAATGATTCCATTGGCAATTTCTTTAGAAAGTGAATTCAAGATCCATGATAGTACTACGGCATTACACCGCTCCCATTGATCTTGAAACTCTGGTTCTTGTGATTCTTTGAGGCAGGTTCCGTTGATGAAGCCCAATTTTTGTTTCCCTTTGAGCGCGATCTGCATAGCATGACTCCAAACATTATAATTCTCACTACCGATGAGAATTTGGGAAATAATGGCTGCACCTTGTGTATCCGACGGATGGAGATACAGAGGGTGAGTGAAACTTAGACTAGCGGCCGGCGACTCACTCATCTTGCTTTCCAATATGCCCTCAATGACGGAAAAACAAGGAACGGTTTCTCAGATGCTCCAGGACGCCTGACTCCGTCCATAAGGTCGAAGCATTTACAAGCCCTAGACCCTGAGACTCTTTCTTGGGCTAACTTTCTTGGGTTGGGCAAAGATGAGGCTCTGATGCCATGTTGAATGTGGCCCAGGAAAATTGAGAGAACAAAAAATATTATTCAACTAAAACTCATACATCCTCTAATCTCCTTACAAACCAATCGATCCACATATATATAGGCCTTGGAACAGATACAAGAAATGGGCTTTGAGAATAAGCCCAATAATAACTTAAGCCTAATACAGAAGAACAAAATGGAATTCTAACAGAATCCATTGAAAAGAAAATGAATGAAAAATAATTAAAAGGAAGCCAGTGAAAAATTGTCGGCCAAGAATTTGTTTGGTATGCGCTGAAACTGAAAATGAGTTGATAAAAAAATATTATATTTGGTGGAATGAAAATATGCTTAAAAAATTGAGCTATTTTATCATATTACTTTTAATAAAAGAATATAATATTATTAAATAAATTTTTTTTGAGTTTATACAATAATAATATTATTAAAAAATTCAATAATTCAAAAAAATAAATTAAAATATATGATGATTTAAATAAATAATTATGAATATAAACAATAAACATAAAAATCACTATAAATATTAAGTTATTCAAAACAATTAATTGAAAAATTAAATAACAAAATATACTAGAAAGTTTGAATAAGGAATGAAAATACATCTAAAGGCGAAAAAGGAAATATGATCTCGCAATTTGTAAATTGGAATGGTCATAAGTAAAGTCAATAAAATGTGAATTTTTAATGTATATAGTGTAACTTCCTAATTTTTGTATTGCTAAGATTTAAGTAAATTTTAATTAAAATAGAATAGATAGAGGTTAAATATGTATTTCATTATGTGTATAAAGATATAAAATAATAAATGAATAAAATGACAATATTAAGAAGTCTCACATTAATTAAATGATGAAATGATAGTTAAAATACTAATATTAAGAAGCCCCACATCAACTAAATGATGGGTACATGGAGCTCTTAGGGGGCTATATATAGGCGGTAATAAAGGAGAGTTAAGAGTAAGTTCAATAATTTTCACACAAAACTGAGACAGTCTTGGTAAAGTGCTATTTACGATTTCATGAAATGTTATTTTGTCCACTGATCCCAGACTTCATACCTATCAATTTCAACGGTTTGATCATAATATGATCTCTAAGGTATGAGTTATTAAGTATACTTTGGCCTCATCCTTCTAGATTTTGTAGATAGAACTCTGAATAGTAAATTATCGTTTTTAAATATTTTTACCATTGGATCAGATTACAATTTGGAGAATTGATTTATGATATCTAAGATATTAAATTCAACGGTGGGATCAATAATTAAACTCCTTTAGTGAGAATAACTTAACTCATATTAAATCTGTTTATATGAGATTTTCAAGGATAAAATATAAGCTGTGAATTAGGGGTTCTTTATTTAGGTTATAAATTTGATGATTCTAATGATATAATTTAGTAACTAAAGGATAATATAGGTTAACGGAACTTGGGAATTGAATTTAAATCCTCATATATATGTTCTTACCCCCAAACCTTAGGAGAAAAAAAGCCTTTCGAACTAGAATTCTGAGTAACAGTTGAAAGTCTTAGAGAGAGGGTTAAAGGCTAGAAATTTGTGAATGGTTTACTCTAATATTGTAGAGATAGTGTTTCAATTTTATTTGTAGATATAAATACTACTATAGCATTTTTAAGTACAGGCCTCATCTATATTTAAAATTTAGCTAGGAGCCCAAATAACTAAATTTCTATCTGTTGTATGCTCTGGTGTGAGGTTGGTAAGTGGTTTTATAACCAATTTTTGTATACGTGTATTATGTTTTGTAGAACTATCTTGTGGGATGCTATTTTAAAAAAGGTTGAAATTGTTTGTGTTGTTAGAAATTACTAGCTTATGACTATGATTTCTTATTCTGGAATTCGATTGATTATACATATAAATATGTGATTATAAATCCTGTGCATCTGGTTTGGGTGGAGGAGGAGACGATTGGAGTATGCAGATATAAACGTCACATGGTGTTGGCTACCATACGGAGCTTTATGATTGGTCACTATTATTGTCCCATTAGTTCTTCGAGGAACTACATTACTCTACTAGTTCTTCGAGGATAGCTCATGGTCCACCGAGTGCTCTGTGGTCTTTAACTGGTCCATATCACTTGTAACATCCTAAGTTTTATCGGGTTTTAATAACCTCTTTTGGTTAATTTTGAGGATAGAATAGTGATTTAATGTTGATCTTGGTGTTTGGGTTGGAATTGAGGTATGTTGGAGGAATAGGTGAACAGACCCCTCTCAGGGTATGTTCGCCACGGTAAAGTTTTACTTCGCCGTGGCAAACAGGGAGTTCCAGGGGGAGTGTCTTCTCGGGAAGGTTTGGCCGCGGCGAAATCAGAGGGACGCCGCGGCGAAATTGTTCAAGTGAGCGAGGTTTCCCTCTCGGGAAGGTTTCGCCGCGGCGAAGATTGGAGTTCGCCCGGTGAAGTCAGGTTTCCAGGCGAGTAATCCCCCTCGGGATTAGTTCGCCGCGGCGAAGTTATGGGTTCGCTATGGTGAAAGGTGCCGAATCTATATAGTCGCGGGAGGGTCTGTTGGTACGAAAATTAGAAAATCTGAAGGAGGAGAGAGAAGCTCTGCTAGGGTTTCGGTGTTGTGGCTTGGGAAAGGCATTTCTAAGGATCCATTACCTCAAGTAAGTGATTTTAACCTCTAATCTACTTTCTTTCTTGGAATCTCTGAGGATTTATGGTGAAACCCTAGAGTTTTCTAGGTTGTTATGGAATTGAGGTTTTTGACCGATTGTCTTGAGTATAATTGATTGCTTTGGGTTAGTCTAAGTATTTAATCGGTGTAGTTTTCTTGGATTTAAAGAACCTTCAGTTTTGAAGCTAGGGTTTATGGAAATGGGAGGTTTGTGATTGAAGATGATAATGTAGAGGTTGATTTTGAGTTTTGTGATTTGGGTTATGTTAAGGAGGGTTAAATTGGATGTTTAATCGGTTTAGAATGTTGTTAAGATTTCAATTGTTCAAATGGGGTGATTGGGTGTTGAATTCCTATAGTGGGTCCTTGAGGCTTGAATCCTAAATTGATATTTGGAGAGGAATTAAGGTTTTTAATGGATTTTTATGACCTTGGAGTGTTGCCTTGGTGGTTATACCCTTTTGAGTTGGGTAGAGTTTGGTTGGAGTTAGGAATTTTACGTCCCCCAATTGTTGTTTTGGCCACATTATTAGTTGAAAGCTAATACATGGTGGTTGTGTGTTTGTGTGCTTGTGTAGACCAGTTGTGAGCCTTGTTAGTGCACGGGGCCGTGTTGTTGGTTTGTTTTTCCTTGCTCAGGCGAGAGGTAACCACTTTCTAATCCTTTGTACATGCTTTTGTGGTATTGTGAGTAGATTTATATTTTGTGCTCCAGATAACAACTGTGTTCAAAGTGTATGTCGTATATTGAAAAGGAAAACCGTCTTGTGGGGTTTAAATTGACATTGATTGAATTTGTAACTTGTGAAAGATAGGTCACTGAAAGAGGTTAATTGTGAAATGAATATTTACTCTTTGATTATAGTTTGAGCATGATGCATGAATTGGGAATTGGTGAGAGTTTTGATTGTTACTACCACATGGTAAGGCTTCCATTAATGCATGATGGTTGGCTCTTTACGTCCCCCAGAGTGAGGGATAGGCCTTTTATAGCTCCTTACGTCCCCCATAGTGAGGGATAGACCGAGTTCGGCTCTTGAAAATTCCCCAAAGTGAGGGATATGGTTGACGGGATTGCATCATTGCACTTGCATTACTTGTTGTGGCTATCATTTATAATATTACTTGTGAACTGCCCCACTTGACACCTCACGAGCACCTATTTAGTAGTACCTTGAATTGGAAAGGTTGGTTACTGGGACGTTTGTCTCACCCCATGGTTTACAATGTTTTCAGGTGAAGGTTCTAGGCGAGTGCCATCGGGAAGAGACGCAGAGGCTTAAGCTTGGTTAGCTTTAGGCCTCTAGCCCTTGTATATGTATGGCTAGTATATATATTGCCACATTTAAGATCCCTTTTGGAAATATTTTGATTACCTGGCCTTGTTGTAAACTGGAGATAATGCTATCTCCTTATTTTGGTTGGCCAGAGGCCATTTCTAGTGTCTTATGAAACTCTG